GTGCCAGCCGACTTCGAGGTGGGGCAGCCACTCGTCGAGCGCCAGCCCGGGGCCCAGCTCGGCGCCGTCGGCCGCCAGCAGCGCCTCGCTGGCCGCCACGATGCGCGCGTAGTCCTCCTCGCGCCGGTCCACCTCCTCCTTGAGCGCCGCGTGGCGCGCCAGCAGCGCGTCCGCCTCCTCCAGGCTGCCGGGCAGGGGCCCCTCGCCGCCGGCCGCCGCCTCCTGGGCGCGCACCAGCCAGTCCAGGAAGGCGTCCAGGTCGTGCAGAAAGCGCTGCAGGCGCCCGGCCGCCGCCACCGCCTCGCCGCATGCCTGGGCAGCGCTGGCCAGCGTGCCCCATTCAGCGCCCAACTCCTCGGCGCCCTGGTGCAGCCGTGCCGCCTGCGCGGGGAAGCGCGCCGCCAGCAGGGCCGCCTCCTCCAGCAGGGCCTCCTGGCGCGGCTCGAGCGCTTGCAGCGCGGCCTCCAGGCCACTCAGGCGCCACTGCAGGGCGCCGCCGGCGCGGGGCGCGCTCTCCACCGCCCGCCGCTTCTCGCGCACCTGCGAGCGCACCTCGGCCACCTCCAGCACGTGGTTCTCCACCAGCAGCACCGCGCTCATCTCCTCCTTGCGCTGTTCCACCAGCTCCACGATGCGGTTCCACCTGCCCCGGGGAAAGAGGGCGACTTAAGGAGGACAGGGACTCCTCTTGGGCGGGGTGGGGGTGGGGGGCTGCCGGTGGTGCCAACGGAACCCAGCCCGTTCGCTTGGAGCAGGGGTGGCAGGCAAGTGACCCCAGAGAGGTCGCCACTGCCCTTCCCCCTGCCTTCTCCCCCAGCAGGGCAGACTGCTGGACTGCGGTTGAGGCCGGCCAGCCCACTGCCCAACCCCCATTTCTCTCTTTGATAGGAAGAGAGAGAGAGATCGAAAGATCGAGAGAGAGAGAGAGAGAGAGAGAGATCTCCTAGCCGTGGTTCACTCCCCGAATGGCCCCCAAGGCCAGGGTTGGGCCAGGCTGCAGCTGGGACCAGAAGCTCCGCCCAGCCTCCCTGTCACTCTGATGTGGGGTGCCAGGGTTGCCAGCAGTGGCCCAACCCCAAGGGGCCCCAGCGCCAGCCCCAGTTCTGCCTTCTCTTAAGCCAGACATTCAACAGATCTGCAAAAATTAGAAACAATGCCAGGTCTCTCACATTTTTTGTTTAGAAAAATACAATGTGTTCTTAAAATGTGTGTTATGCTAACATATAATAGGTTTGCTATTATTTTTAGAAGACTTAATATTTTAAAGTTTCTTGGCCTTAAGCCCTAATACATTGGTAGATACGACCCATTACAGCAAACTGCAGGGTCCTCAGTATTTTCCCCCTCAGGGCAGAGGAGGGACGGGCACTGTGGCACAGCGGGTTACACTGCTGCCTGCAACACCAGCTCCCATTTGTGGGCACTGGCTCGAGCCCCTGCCACCCACGTGGGACACCTGGATAGAGTTCCAGGCTCCTGGCTCCTGGCCTTGCTCTGGCCCGGACCAGGCTGTTAGGGCCATACATGGGCTGAACTAAAAGATGGAAGCGCTCGCTCTCTCTCTCGCTCTGCCTGTCAATCAATCAACCAATCTTTTTTAAAATAATAAGTGCAGAGGCAGGGACTGGGTATTCAGCCCAGTGGTTCAGATCCCCGTGGCCCATGTCAGAGTATCTGAGTTCTGTTCCCGGCTCTGGCTCCTGACGCCAGGTTCCTGCCAGTGCAGCCCCTGGGAGGCGGCAGCGATGGCTCAAGTCACTGGGGCCCTGCCACCCCCGTGAGCTCCTGGCTGCTGGCTTTGACCACAGCCCAGCTCTGGCTGTTGTAGGCATTGAGGAATGAGCCAGCGGATATGAATACCTTCTCCCTCCCTCTCTCTCTCTCTCTCTCTCTCAACAAATAAACGTTTTAAAGTGCAGAGCATGTGTCAGTCAACGGAGGTGTGGCCTGCGAAGAGCCAGCCTTACTGCGTGACGACAGTCCTTGGGAATGCACCAAGCTACCCCAGCCTCAGGGCCTCTGCTCCCCCGGCTCCCAGCTCCGGAACACTCTGTGCCTCCCCCTCCCCGCCCCACACTCTTCCTGTCTGGCTGTTTCTTCTCCCCTCTAAGGATCCGGCTCAAAATGTGTCTGACCACACAGTCTAAAGCCACTCCCAAGCCTCTCTCTTGCACAAGGCCTTGCGAGTCTCCAAAGATCTTGTTTGTGCTGTAGTTTACATAACTGCCTCTCTGGAAGCAGCCCAAGGGCAGAGACGTGGACTGTGGAAATCAGAAGGGTGAGAGTTCGAGGTCTGCTCCGGCCAGATCTGCCGTGTGCTTCCGGGCCAGCCCCACACCTGCCTGAGCCTCAGTTTGCTCGTCTGGAAAATGGGAAGAACAATGTCCACTTCGCTGAGCGTTTACTGAGACCGCGTGGCTACAGCACTCGGCATGTGGGCCTCTGGACACTGAGAAGCAACGCTGCTGCTTGGGGACCTGCCCAGGTGACAGAGGCTTTCATTCTTTAAAGATTTTTTTTTTTTATTTGCAAGGCAGAGTGACAGAGAGGAAGCCACAGAAGCCAGGGCTGGGCCAGGCTAAAGCCCTGGCTTCCAGAACTCCATCTGGGTCTCCCCCACGGGTGGCAGGGACCCAAGTACCCAGGTCATCTTCTGCTACCTGCCCAGGTGCGTTAGCAGGGAGCTGCGTCAGAAGCAGAGAGCGAGGCCTCGACTCCAGTGTGACACGCTGGCATCGCGGACAGCGGCTTAGCCTGCTGCCCCACAGCGCTGCCTGCAACAGAGGCTTTTGAATCTCTGACAGTGGGGCTGGTGCTGTGGCATGGCGGGTCAAGGTGCTGCCTGTGTTGCCAGCGTCCTATACCGACGCCAGTTAGGGTCCCGGCTGCTCTATTTCCGATCCAGCTCCCTGCTAACGCGCCTGGGAAGGCAGTGGAAGATGGCCCAAGTCCTTAGGCCCCTGCACCCACGTGGGACACCCAGACAAAGCCCCTGGCTCCTGGCTTCGACCTGGCCCAGCTTCAGCCACTGCGGCCATTTGGGGTGAGAACCAGCAGATGGAAGATTCTCCCTTTCTGTTACTCTGCCTTTCAAACAAATAAATCTTTTTTAAAAATTAAAGAGATAAGCCCCTGGCTCCTGGGATGGTGCCATAAAGCAGTGAAGAGCAATGTCTCTGGACTCAGACGCACACAACTTCAAGCGCCCGACCTGGCTGTGTGACCTTGGGCCAGGACCTCCACCTCTCTGAGCCCTGGTTCCTCTTCTCTAACTAGCCCCTAGCATTGTCCCTAGCATTGCCACGGCAGTGATGAGGAGCCCCACTCTGGATTCAGACAGAACTGGAACCAACTCCTACGCAGGACACGGCGTCCTCCTAGACAAAGGTTTCCCCTCTTGGCGTCTGCACCTCCATCTGCGAACCCCACCTGCACCCACAGAACAGCAAGTGTGCGCCCAGGGAACCAGGCTTGTGAGCTGTTGTGTTTAGCAAGTTCCAAATTCTCACTTCACTAGGATATGGGGATGAACCCAGGTAGCATAAAGGGCTTGAAAGAGCTCCCAGTGGACAGTGGCTCCTCGGCAGGTCCTGTCTGAACAAGCTAATGCAGCAAGGGACGAGCAACGCCCACTGCATCAGCCCAGCACTGGGCGTCGCCGCCTTTCTCCCGATTCGGCTGACTCAGCGTCCCGGTCCGTGGCTGAGTGCAGGTGGCGGCGGCGATGGCAGGAGCTGCTGAGACATCAGGGAGGCCTCCCAGCCCCAGCCCCGCCTACCTGCTGTTGAGGTGGTCCTGGCAGGAGCGCACCTCCTCCGAGCTGGGGTGGCCGCCTTCCACCAGCTCCTGCACCGTGTGGTTCACGTCCAGGACACGGCCCATCAGACTGTTCATCTCCTGGTCCAGGCTCTCGAATCTGCAGGAGGAGGATGGAGGAGCTCAGAGGCCCAGGCCTGGGCCATGCCCGCTCCTCGGCCTCTAGGGAACTGCCTGCTCCAGCCTCCACCAGGAACTCTGCGGCCTCAGTGCCCGGCCCCTCTGCCGGCCGCTGCAGTGCCGCGGCCCTGGGCGCTCTGTCCTGGGTCCCTCACATGCGCTCACAGCCCTGCCCCCACCTCTAAAACCCGTCTCCAGCCCCAGGCCCTCTGGGGGCTTTTCACACCACTGTGACTCAGACCACCCTCGGGGTCTCCCATGCAACAGCTCAGGGGCAGCCCTGCCACCCCCCGGCCTGACGCCTGTGCCTTGGACAACTGCCCCCATGGCCTATGTGCTTGGCTTCCGGCTCTGGTCCAGTCCTGTCCCATCCGGGTTCCCACCCCGACTGCCACTCTGGGGTCCCGGCCACCACTAGTACCCACTCCCCATGGCAGCCCTGGGGCTCAGGCTGCGGGGATCCTCCTTGGCCTAAAACACTTGGGGAATGGTGTGAGCAGGAGGGGCAAGGAGCAGGCCTGCTTCCAGCAGTGCCCAGCACAAGGCCTGTGGGATGGGTGGAGGGACACACAGGGCGCTCCCAGGGAAAGGGTGGCAGCGTTCAGCCACTCACTCATCGCCACGTCGGCCAACAGCAAGTCAGCTATGCAAGATGTCCCTGGGGGGAGGGGGTGCTAAAGCACAGAGAGCAAAGAGAGAGCCACAAGGGCCTGGACCATTAGATTAGCAAGGGATGTGGCATCTGTGCCCGGCGCTCGGGAGTCCCAGGGAGGGGTCAGGCTTGGGTGACCTGGAGGAGCTCAGGTGGCTGATTTCCGGCCAGGTGAGTATAAGCCTCATAGCAAGGCATTCACTGGTTCACTGTTCACCAGCAGCCTGCCAGATGGGGCCTAACAGCAGCCCATTTTATGGATAGGCAAACTGAGATGCACAGAGGCTGGGGCAGTTGGAGAACAGTCACAAGGCATGGGCACTATCAGACCAATGAAGGCCAAGACTGGGTGCGTGAGAAAGGGGACCCTGGGAGTCCCACAGGCGCGCGCTCACCGGTGCTGC